CTGAGTCTGAAGGTGCGGAGCCTGGGGGTGCTGAGCCTGGGGGTGCTGAGCCTGAGCGTACTGAGCCTGTAGGTTCTTTGTCTGCTGGTCGTCCTGCGGGTGCCTTGTCACGGTTGGAGCCTCTCTCTCCACCGCAGCTGCGCGAGTGGTTTCCTCGGCGCTGGAGCCTTTGGAGTGGCGCTACTGGAGCTGGGGGGCCTGCCGCTAGAGGCCCTGGAGCTGGTGGCACTGGAGGTGCTCGTACTGGAGGTACTAGAGCTGCTGGAGCCGGTGGTACTGCAGGCGCTAGAGCTGGAGACCTTGGAGCAGGAGGCGCTGGAGCTGGAGGTACCGGAGGTACTGGACCTGTTGGTCCTGGCGGTGCTAGAGGTCCTACGGGTGTCCCGTCACGGCGGGAGCCTCTCTCTCCACCGCAGCTGCGCGAGTGGTTTGCTCGACAATGGAGCCTTCAGAGTGGTGCTGCTGCAACCGGGGGGCCTGCCGCTGGAGGCCCTCGCACTAGAGGCGCTGGAGCTGCTGGTGTCACAATGTAAAAGTTAACTAAAAAACAGAAAGTACAAACAAGATATATGAAAACCTAACCCTAGTGCAAGTACAAAAATAACACAAGGGAGAACACCTAGACTAGAACTACACAAGCTATAGAAATATAGTTTGACACACCCCCATAGTCTAGGTGACGGTAGTCCTGTAGAAACAACAAGAGCAAGCAATGGTCACAAGACCAGTCCACAAGAACAAGACAAATCTCAGGGTGGAGCTCAAAGTCACCACACACTCCGAGAACAAGCAAGGGGCCACAAGGCCAGTCCACATGCAGGTATATAGCAAATATATATAGACGCAAGAGTACAAGACAAGCAGGACAAGGCATCTCTACGTAAGCAAGTGAGGACGGGCAGGCACAAGGCCAAGCTGGGTGCAGAAGCGCTGGTGGTCACAAGGCGGCAACGCCTTGGTGAAGATATCTGCAGTGTTGGCCTCAGAGACCACACGGACCACGTGGGCCTGGCCACGCTGCTGCAACTCACGCAGAAGGAAGTAACGAAGCTGGATGTGTTTCGCCTTCCCAACCAGTCGGGGCTCCTCACACAACAGGACAGCAGACCTGTTGTAGGCGAACAAGACTGGGGGAGAGCGAGGCCGCTCACCAAGGTCGGTGAGAAGGAAAGACAGCCAGCGAAGCTCCTGAGCGGCCATGGCCGCGGCGTACACCTCTGCCTCACAGCTGGAACCGGCGACAGACGACGCCCGAGTCGACCGCCACGAAACAGCACCTGCCCCGAGGCTAAAGGAGTACCCCTGTGTAGACCGACGCGTCTCCGCGTCGTCGGCCCACGACGAGTCGGAGAAACTTGAAAGTGTAACTGGCTGCTTCCCTCCAAGGACAAGTCCCATGCCTGATGTATTTGCCACATACTTCGCCACCCTCTTAGCCTCGTACCAGTGGGAAGGTCGGTGTCTCCCAGGCGCAACAAAGCGCGCAAGGACGCTAAGAGGGTAAGCTAGGTCTGGGCGAGTGCAGGTCATCAGGTACATGAGACAACCCACCAGCTCAGGATATGGATCGCTGGACTCAAATGGCTCGTCCGAAGGTGGAGCCGTGAGCCCATGATCCACACCAAGAGGGGTGAGCTGTACCTTGGAGAACGGGAAGCGAAACCGCTTGAGGATCTGCTCGACCATATGCGACTGAGTCAGCGTAATGGTGCGAGCTGCCCTGTCCCTGGTGATCTGCAGGCCAAGGTAGTGCTGCAGCTCACCAAGGTCAGTGCAAGTGTGTCTCCTCAGCAGTTCCTCCTTCACGGAGGCCAGCGCGCGTCGGTCGGGAGTGGCGAACACCATGTCGTCGACGTAGACCAGGACAAAGAACGGGGTCGAGCCACGGCGAACGAACAGTGACGGGTCAGCAGATGACGGAAAGAAGTCAAGAGCTGCAAGGGTCGAGCGAAGTGTGTCGTGCCACTCACGTGGAGCCTGACGCAAGCCGTAGACTGGTCGACGCAGCTGCCACTGGGTCCCAGGTGGGAAAGAGCCAGTGAAGCCAGGCGGGCAACGCAGCCAGATCTGCTCGTGCAGGCTCCCCTGAAGGAACGCGGTGGAAAAGTCCAAGGAGTGCAACTCGTAGTCGCGCTGGGCTGCAATATGCAGCAACACCCGAAGGGTACTCATCTTCGGCGTGGGAGCGAAGGTCTGGAAGAAGTCCACCCCCTCTCGCTGACTGAAGCCTCTCGCCACATAGCGCGCCTTGAACACATGTGGTGATCCAGGCGGCCGCTTCACCTTGTAGAGCCATCGGCCACTGACGACGTTCGTCCCAGGTGGTGGGACTGCGTCGACGTAAGTGCCTGTGGACCTATAAGATGCCATCTCTGCCTCCTCAGCTGTTATCCAGTACGAAGCCCAGGGTCCCGAGATCGCCTCGGCGTGAGTGCGAGGGATCGGGATGTCAAGGGCGTCTGGATCCCCCTCAGGGGCAAGTAGCATGGCGCAGAGATGAGGAACAGCGGCCGCAAGGAAACCAAGCTCGAACTGCCTGTCCTCGAGGACCTCCAGGGGAAAGACAGGAGCACCCCCAGAGAACGGAGAACGAGCAGGGCCACTCACCACGTGAGCGGCGTAGTCAAGGTGGTAGGAAGAGGCAAAGCCAGCGACAGTGGTAACAAGAGCTGAGACAGACGACAAAGGTGCAGTCGGGTGAGTGACCAACGCGGACAAAACACTGGAGACCACAGGACGGGAGGCACGGAGGTAGTCGGACAACGGGTCGTGAAGCACAGTGAGGGACGACTCAGGGGGCTGTGGAAGGACAGGATGAGGTGGAACACGCGAGCGAAGAACAAGGTGGAACGGACCGTCTGCACGGTAACGGGACCGACGACGCTCTGGGGACACAGCACGACTGAGGGGAGAACGATGAGTCCACTGGGACGAGGAAAAGGACTCAACAGGGGGAACAGGCGGGGACGGTAGGGGACCACGAACAAAGCGTGCAGGTGCTAGGTCGGGGAGGTCTAGTAGTCGCAGTCGCTGCTGCTCCGCCTCCTCTGGCGTCTGCTGCGACGGTACCGGCCCCTGCTGCTGCTCCTGTGGCTCCGCCTCTGCCCTCTCCTGCTGCGACTGCAGCTGCATCCACTGCTGCGACCGGGACTCCTGCGCTACCCTCTCCTGCTGCGGCCGTGAATCCTCCTCTACTCTCTCCTGCTGGGTCCGTAACTGCACCTGTTGCTGCGGGTGGGACTCCTGCTCTACCCTCTCCTGGTGCGGCCGGGACTGCTCCTCTACTCTCTTCTGCTGTGTCTGTAACTGCACCTGCTGCTGCGGGCGGGACTCCTGCTCTACCCCCTCCTGGTGCGGCCGTGACTCCTCCTCTACACTCTCCTGCTGCGGCTGTGACTCCCCCTCTACTCTCTCCTGCTGCTGCTGCTGCTGCTGCTGCTGCTGTGCCCTCTCAAACCGCTCACGCTCCTCCCTCTACAACCGAAGGAGACGCTGCTCACGGGTCAGGAAACGTACAGTGCGCGGTGTAGGTGCCACAGTGCTAGTGCCTCCAGCTCCAGCACCCCCAAAACCAGCACCTCCAAAACCGACACCCCCGGGGCCTCCAGTACCTCCCGCAGGAACACCCCCAGGGTCCGCAGCAACCGGCGGCAGAGAAGGACGAGGAGGAAACTGCGGGATGGACGGGAAGCCAGGGGGTGAGGCGGGGCGAGGCCGCCGACTCGAGGCTGCCGTGTCCTCCACAGGAGTGACCTCCACGCCCACAACCCCTACACCCCCAGAACCGACACCACCAGCTCCTGCAGCCCCAGTACCCTCACCCTCCGCAACTGCACCTCCCGCACCCCCAGACACGACAGGGACTGGACGCTGTGGGGGGGACGACTGTGGAGTGACGTGCGACACACCTGACGGGGCACGACGCGAAAGGGGGGGGGCTACCGGGGCGACTGGGAGAGGCTCAAGGGTGAGGAACAGCGGGGGGGAAAAGACCTCAGTACCTCGGTGGGGGCGACTCCTGTAGTAACAGACAGACTCGTCGAACGTGACGTCCTGAGAAGCGAAGAACCCGCAGGTGACCGGGTCGTAGAACACCCAGCCGGAGGCGTCCAAAGGGAAGCCAAGAAAGACGCAGGCACAAGTGCGCGGAGACAACTTGTTCGCGCCAGGGGCGCGAACGTGAGCCAGACAACACCAGACGCGGAAGTCAGCTGCTACACCCTGTGAACCTGACCAGAGAGAGACCGGCGTCACCCGTGGCCGTGCGTCACTGGGCCACAGGTTCAGCTGGTGCGCGGCGTAGCGGACCGCCTGTGGCCACAAGAACTGAGGGGCACCGGCATGGCACATGGAGGTCCGGGCAACCTCCATGACCAGGCCGATGCGACGCTCGGCTACCCCGTTCTGCTGCGGCGAGGCTGGTAGCGTGTACGACTGAATGACTCCCCGACCCTGACAGAACGTCTCCAAACGAGTGGAAGAAAACTCACCACCACGATCCGAGTGTAGGCGAAGCCCACACAGACCCTGGGCACCACCCCACGCTAGTAGCCACGGCTCGAGGACGGTAGGCACGTCGGCCTTCCGTCGCAAGGGGAAAACCGTGGTGTAGCGGGAGTAGTCGTCCACCACAATCAGGAAGTAGCGCTCCTGACGTGGTCCAAGGACCGGGGAGGGGCCCCAGACTGTCACGAGACTAGCTTAGCTGGTAACCGGGTTTAAGAAGGGCCTAGGCTTAGTGGCCTAGGCCAAGGGTATCGTGAGTAGCTTGTGCCAAGGAGAATTGAAAATGGTTGGAGGTTCACTATAGCACACGAGTACATATAGCAACCTAACAAAGGTGAAAGAGGTGCACCACCACACAAGGGAATTACACAACAGCTACACTACAGGCAGATTATACTAAATAGATATAAATCTATTGTGACACACCCCCTATCTGCCTGAAGTGCATAACCATGTGCAGAGCCCCCTTGAAGGGGTACACCTGTAAAACCCCATTACACGGCGTGGGAACACCAGCAAGGGGCCCCCTCTGAAGCTGACAAGCAGCAACCACCAAGTAGCATCTGAACCACCGCGGTGGAACAGGTGCCCGGCTGCGGTTGAACGCCCCGCAGCTGGTGCACGGTGTGCGAGGAGCACGGGTACGGGTAGCGGGTTCGGGTAGCAACTAGGTGCTGTATGGGACGGGCCGCACGGGGGTGACGAGCAGCACGAGACCGGGCAGCACAGACCAGGTGGGGCACGAGCGAGAACTGACAGCACGGGTGGGGCACCAACGGGTACGGACAGCATGGGTAGGGCACAAACGGGCAGAGCGGGGCAGCACGGGCAGAACAGGGCAACACGGGCAGAACGGGGCAGGACACGGGCTGAACGGGGCAACACGGGCAGAACGGGGCAGGACACGGGCTGAACCGGGCAACATGGGCAGAACAGGGCAAAACACAGGCTGAACGGGGCAGACACGGGCTGAACGGGGCAACACGGGCAGAATAGGGCATAACACGGGCTGAACGGGGCAGGCCACGGGCTGAACGGGGCAACACGGGCAGAACAGGGCAACACGGGCTGAACGGGGCAACACGGGCAGAACGGGGCAGGACACGGGCTGAACGGGGCAAGACACGGGCTGAACGGGGCAACACGGGGACAACGGGGCAACACGGGCAGAGCGGGGCAGGACACGGGCTGAACGGGGCAACACGGGCACGGAAACGGGCACGACACAGGCAGAACGGGGCAGCACGGGGGCAGCATGGGAACACGGGGGCAGCACGGGAAAACGGGGACAGCACGGGAGCAGCACGGGAACACGGGGGCAGCACAGGAGCACGGGGGCAGCACAGGAGCATGGGGGCAGCACGGGAAGCACGGGACGCACGGGTGAAACGGGTGGGGCACAACCGGGTACGGACAGCATGGGCACGTGGAACACGAGCGGACAGCACGGGCATGGGCTCGGGGCAAGCACGGGGAACACGGGGCAGACAGCACGGGCACGGGCACGGGGCAAGCACGGGCAATACGCGAGGTACGGGGCAGGGGATGAGAGGAGGAGGCGGCTGATGCTGCATATGAACTCTCACCACCCACACCCCCTGAACCTTTCCCCCCACAGCAGCATTGACAGAGAAAGAGAGGTGGGGTGGCAGTTGTCGGTGGGGGGGGGCGGGATCTGGGGCAGAACGGCGGTCTGGGTGCAGGTACGGGGTGCGGACGGGTCTCGCGGACGGGGGCACGGACGTCGTGCGTGGTGCGGATGGCGTACGGGCGACGGGCGGGGTGCGTGGTGCGGATGGCGTACGGGCGACGGGCGGGGTGCGTGGTGCGGATGGCGTACGGGCGACGGGCGGGGTGCGTGGTGCGGGTGGCGCACGAGTGGCGGGCAGGGTGCGGGGTGCGGGTGGAGTACGGGCGACGGGCGGGGTGCGGGGTGCGGGTGGAGTACAGGCGACGGGCGGGGTGCGGGGTGCGGGTCGCGGACGATCTGGTGCGTGCAAGGGCGTAGCAGCAGCTTCTCCTGCCACTCCCACCACTCTTGCCACTCCCGCCACTCCCTTCACAGCAGTTGCGAAGTCGACGGGAGGGCGGGCGGGGACCTGGCGACGGGCAGCGGAGAGCGTACAGGTGGCGGGGATCTGGCGACGGGCGGAAGTGCGACGGGACGGGCGACAGGCTGCAGCAGCGGATATCGCGCGGGCGGCGGGATGCAGCGGGTAGCGCGTCGGCGACGGGCAGAAGCAGCGGGTAGCGCGTGGGCGACGGGCTGCGGCAAGGAAGCGCTCACGAGGCGCGCTACGGGCCGCGCAACGGGGCACGCCATAGCGAGAGGCTAGCGGTGGGCCCATAAAAATCCGGTCCTTAGGAAAGGAACCGCTCTGATGCCATGTCACGAGACTAGCTTAGCTGGTAACCGGGTTTAAGGGCCTAGGCTTAGTAGCCTAGGCCAAGGGTATCGTGAGTAGCTTGTGCCAAGGAGAATTGAAAATGGTTGGAGGTTCACTATAGCACACGAGTACATATAGCAACCTAACAAAGGTGAAAGAGGTGCTCCACCACACAAGGGAATTACACAACAGCTACACTACAGGCAGATGATGCTAAATAGATATAAATTTATTGTGACACAGACGTCCAAGTGCAGGGTCTGGAAGGGAGCCGTGGTGGGGGGGAACGAGGAGGAGTGAGGGGCAGCGCGCTGCCGACCCTCGACGCAAGGAGTGCACAGCGGCGCAGGCGAGCGAGGAAGCGGGGCAAGCGACTCTGGGAGACCTGAGACCAGACGGTAACGTGCCATCCTACTGAGACGTGGGAACGACGGGTGACCTAGACGGTGGTGCCAGAGGACAGACGGGTGGGTGAGGGAGCGACAGTCGCACGACACAGCAGCTACCTGACCTGACCTGACCTGGCCTGACCCAGTGCGGTGGGACCCAGTGTGTAGTGAGTACAGACCAGAGCCCGGCTCTCTGTGAAAAGTGGCCAGAGGGGCCCCAGTGGTACCGACTGTGCAGGAGGCAACAGGCTCGTCCAGTGGGAAAGTGGTGACTACACCTAGGTCGTGGAGGTGAATAACACCCACCAGGTTCCTAGAGAACGAGGGGGTGTAGTAACCTGTAAGAAAACCTGAGGGAGCTGCCGGACACGGAAGAGTGGGGGTGCTGCAAGCAACTACACGTCCCACAAAGGGGTCAGCCAATGCGATAGTGACTGGAGTGCGCAGTGGTGTGAGGTCAGTACAGTCGCGAAAGAAGCAGCTAGACGCTCCAGAGTCTAGGGTGAAGGAAAGTTGTGCAGTCTGTGGGGTCGCACCCGAACCAGCTACAAAGGCTAGTGCTAGACTAGTGGTAGCTGCAGCTCCTACACAAAGTCCCTTAGAGGCGCCTGGACTGGAAACAACACACGCACCAAGACTGGAAACACAAGTCTCTACTCGTGCTGCCAGGAAAGGTCCTAGACCAGGTAGGTGAGACTCAACTAGTGCAGCAGTGCGCTGGCGAAGTCGCGAGGGCCAGTGCGGTGTAATAGCGTGAGGACCAAAACGCTCACGGTGGAGGTCGTCGAGTCGACGGTAGCAGCTGGACGCAGAGTGATCAGGACTCCAGCAGGTAGTGCCAGGACCAGGGCATGTCAGGGCCCGGTACCCGCAGGGGCCGACGTCTCGCCCACTGCTAGCTGAGCCACTGCTGAGGGCTCCACACTTTGGACCCGCAGGTCCCCACTGCCGGGAGTGCTGCGGCTGGCCCTGCTGCTGTCGAACTCGAGTACAAGCCATGTGAGTAGCTAGAAACGGGGGTGGTGCTGGCATGTGGGCCTAGACTGCTGCTGGTGGTAGGCTATCCTGCTGCTGGTTCCGCTGGGGGCAGCCTAAGCTGCTGCTGGTGCACTAGCGGTAGCCTAAGCTGCTGCTCGAGCGCTGGGGCAGCCTAACCTGCTGCTACTGGTGCTGCTGGTGGCGGGTTTCAGCCCTTGAAGCGGAGGATTCAGGTCGTGGGGAGGGGGGGGGGGGGCAGCTCTGACTGGTACAGGTGATGCAGCGGATGCGGTTCTGTGCGGTTCTGTGCTGTTCAGTGCGGTTCTGCGCGGTTATGTGCGGTGCTGTGCGGTTCTGCGGGGTGGAGAGTACCGGGTGGGGCGGCTGATTCCGGGTGAGGAGTCTGGAACGGGTGGGGCAGCAGCTCTGGCTGGAACGGGTGGGGAAGCGGGTGCGGTTCTGAGCGGTTCTGTGCAGTTCAGTGTGGTTCTGCGCGGTTCTGTGCGGTGCTGTGCGGTTCTGCGGGGTGGAGAGTACCGGGTGGGGCGGCTGATTCCGGGTGAGGAGTCTGGAACGGGTGGGGCAGCAGCTCTGGCTGGAACGGGTGGGGAAGCGGGTGCGGTTCTGAGCGGTTCTGTGCAGTTCAGTGCGGTTCTGCGCGGTTGGGGAGTACCGGGTGGGGCGGTGTAAGTTGCTGGTTTTGCTAGGGGGTAGTTCAAGTTGTTGCTGGTGCGCTGACGGCAGTGGAAGCTGCTGCTGGTGCGACTGGCGGCAGTCTAAGTTGCTGGTGGTGCTCCTGGCGGTAGACTAGGCTGCTGGTGCTACTGGCGGCCGTGTAATCTGCTAGTGCTACTGGCGGCGGGTGTGGTAGTTCGTGGGGAGGCGGGTGTCAGGTGGGGCGGCTGGTAAGGCAGCGGGCGACGGGTGGGGAAGGTAAGGCGGCGGTTCTGTGCGGTTCGGTACGGTTCTGTGCGGTTCTGCGCGATTCTGCACGGTTCTGTGCGGTTCTGTGCGGTTCTGCACGGTTCTGTGCGGTTCTGTGCAGTGGAGAGTACTGGGTTGGGCGGCTGATTCCGGGTGAGGTGACTGGAACGGGTGGGGCAGTATGTTTCCAGGTGGGGCAGCAGTTTCAGGTCTGGGACAGCCGTTTGCAGTTCCTGGGGCGGCCGATTTCTGGTGTGGCGGCTGTCTTCTGCTCGTGGGGCGGCAGATCGCGGGTGAGGCGACGGCTAACAGGGTGGGCGGCGGGTAAGGCAGCGGGTGGGGCCGCATCTAACGGGTGGGGCGGCGGTTACGACGGTGGGAAACGGGTGGGGGGACGGGTCACTGGTGCGCGCGGTTGCTTCTGTGCGTGCGTGCGACTAACGACGGGGCCGCGGGGCACGCTTGCGAAGGGGCCTCTGGGCCCACGAACGAAGGGCCGCGGGGCCCGCTAACAAAGGGCCGCGGGGCCCGCTAACGAAAGGCCGCGGGGCCCGTTAAGGAACAGCCGCGACGGGTGACGGGCGACGGGGAAAAAAAGGAAAACGGCCGCGATCGACGGGGGGAAACGGGCGACGGGCGAATGGCGACGGGGGGGAGGGGGGTCTACGGGCGACGGGTCCTAAGGTAAGCGCGCTACGGGCAGTCTAGGACGGGGCGCGACTAGGTGGGCCCATGATAGTCGAGTGATTTTTTTCTAAGGGGAAAATCTCGCTAGGGTGAACCTAGCTCTATACCATATCACAATGTAAAAGTTAACTAAAAACAGAAAGTACAAACAAGATATATGAAAACCTAACCCTAGTGCAAGTACAAAAATAACACAGGGAGAACACCTGGACTAGAACTACACAAGCTATAGAAATATAGTTTGACAGCTGGTCCTGGAGGTGCTGGAGGTGCTGGAGCCGCTGGAGCTAGAGGTGCTGCAGGCTTTGGAGCTGGAGGCGCTGTCGCTAGAGGTAGCGGAGGTGCTGGAGCTGCTGGTCCTGGAGATGCTGGAGCCGCTGATGCTGGAGGTGCTTGTACTAGAGGTACTAGAGCTGCTGGAGCTGGAGGTGCTGCATGAGTTGGAGCTGGAGGCCCTAGAGCTCGAGGTGTTGGAGGTGCTGGAGCCGCTGATCCCGGAGGTGCTCGTACTGGAGGTGCTGGAGCTGCTGGAGCTGGAGGTGTTGCAAGAGTTGGAGCTGGAGGCGCTGGAGCTGGAGCTGTTGGAGGTGCTGGAGCCGCTGGTCCTGGAGGTGCTCGTACTGGAGGTACTGGAGCTGCTGGAGCTGGTGGTGCTGCGGGAGCGGGAGCTGGAGACCCCGGAGCTGGAGGCGCTGGCCCCGGGGGTGCTGGTGCTGTTGGTGCTGGTTCTGGGAGCACTGTGCGGCCGAGACCGTACTTCACTCCTCTGCTTCAATAGGTTCTTGGTCTCCCGTCCTCTACTGCCTTACTCCTCACTTACTATGTCCATCGTCTGACCACATGCAGCCGCAGTTACAGCCAGCCTCCATACTGCCTGCTCCTGTTCCTTACACTGAGCAGACCGGTGGTCTTACAGAGCGTCGTGAGCCTGCGTCTCGCCCTGCCTCGCCTGTTTGCGCTGGTCGCACTAGTTGTCGCACTGGTTGTCCTTTTTCCTCTTCCTTCTCCTCCTCCTCTCCCTTCCACGCACCATATGGCACTTCGTCCTTCCTCTGTTCCACTGCGAGTTCCCCTGCCGTCTCCTCCTGCGTCCTCTCTTCCTGACGATCCAGACCCTGAGTCGGACTTACTTCGTGCTGCCAGTCCTACTGTCAGACGTCTTCTAGCCACTGTTGTCATTGACCCTTCGTTTGAGTCCACTGCTGCTTCTGCCTTAGTTGCTGAGCTTGTTGACTTTGCTGCCGCCTGTCGTCTCCACTACGCGGCTAGTCTTGTTTCTGAGTCTGAGTCTATCTGTCCTCCGTCCGTCGGGGGTGAGTGTGCTCTTGGCACGGACGTCCTTGAGGACAGGCAGGAGGACTTTGAGTGTTTTGCAACTGCTGTACCTCATCTCGTGTCCATGCTGATTGCACCTGAGGGAGACCCGGATGCACCAGACATCCCGACCCCGCGCACTTACGCAGAGGCGATTTCGGGTCCCTACTCCTCTTAGTGGCAGACCGCCATGGACGCAGAGATGGCATCCTGGAAGTCCACAGGCACTTACGTCGACGCAGTTCCCCCTCCTGAGGCGAACATAGTCGATGGCATGTGGATTTTCAGGGTGAAGCGGCCGCCGGGTTCTCCTCCTGCCTTCAAGGCTCGTTACGTGGCACGAGGCTTCAGTCAGCGACGGGAAGTTGACTTCTTCCAGACCTTCTCCCCTACCCCGAAGATGACCACTCTTCGAGTACTGCTGCACATCGCTGCTCAGCATGACTACGAGCTTCACTCTCTTGACTTCAACACATCTTTCCTACAGGGCAGCCTGCACGAGGAGATCTGGCTGCGCCGCCCACCTGGCTTCACTGGGTTGTTTTGATGCAGGTACCTAGTGGAGCCTCCGGCGGCTAGTCTACGGTCTTCGCCAGGCGCCTCGCGAGTGGCACGACACACTGAGGACGACACTTGCGGCTCTTGGGTTTGGTCCTTCGACTGCTGACCCGTTGCTGTTGCTACGCACCTACACTTCGCTGCCACCGTTCTACATCTTCGTGTACGTCGACGACTTGGTCTTTGCCACTGCTGACACTGATGGACTGGCCCTAGTGAAGTCGGAGCTGTAGAAGAGACACACGTGCACAGACCTGGGTGAGCTGCGCAGCTATCTTGGCTTGCAAATCACCCGGGACAGAGCACGGCGCACCACTACCTCGACTCAGTCACACATGGTGCAGCAGGTCCTTCAGCGCTTCGACTTCCAGTACTCCTCGCCACAGTCCACTCCTCTGCCTACCAGTCACTCGCTCTCAGCTCCACCATTGGACGAGTTCGTAGAGCCGAGTGGCCCGTATCCAGAGCTTGTGGGCTGCCTCATGTACCTGATGACCTACACTCGACCTGACCTAGCCTACCCTCTTAGCATCCTGGCACGCCACCTTGTGCCCGGGAGACACCGACCAGAGCACTGGAAGGCAGCTAAGAGGGTGTTGCGCTACTTGTGCAGTACGTCGGACATGGGGCTCGTGCTTGGAGGACGGGCTCAAGTTGTCCTCACTGGACACGCAGACGCTTCTTGGGTTGACGACTTGGCTATGCAGCGTCCGTCACCGGGTTACACTTTCAGCCTTGGCTCCGGCTCTGTTTCTTGGCGGTCTACCCGCTCGTCTTCTGTTCTCAGTTCTAGTTGTGAGGCTGAGATCTACGCAGGGGCCATGGCTGCACAGAAGTTACACTGGCTCACCTACCTGCTGATCGACTTGCGAAAGCCGCCTCGTTCTCCTCCAGTTCTGTACGTTGACAACAAGGCCATGATTGCCTTGTGTCGGGAGCACTGACTGGAGCACGGAACGAAGCATATCGCTCTGCGCTACTTCCTTGCTCGAGAGTTGCAGCAGCGTGGTCAGCTTCGTCTTGCTTACGTGGCCTCTCGAGCCAACACTGCTGATATCTTCACCAAGGCACTTCAGCCTTGTAATCATCAGCGTTTCTGTACTGTTTTAGGCCTTGTACCTACTTGGCCTCACTTGCTCACTTCTTGACTTTGCTTGTACTGTGATCTATATACATTATGCTTGCACTTGCTAGGTTTTGATCACTACTGCTTGTTCTCTATTATATAACTCTGCATGTGGACTGGCCTTGTAGCCATTTGCTTGTGCTCGGAGTGTGTGGTGACTTCGTGATCCACCGTGAGCTTGCTTTGCTTTTCTTGACTGGTCTTGTGACCTCTTGTTCTCCCCCACTTTACCTATGGGGGTGTGTCAAACTTATATGAGAAGATTTGAACAAGAATGAATGAACTATGAAATGAAGTGAGTACAAATATGAAACCCTAATTGGTTGTACCCCCTATGGGATACCCCACTATGACCTACACAACAGCATAAGCTATAATGTTCTGACACACCCCCATAGGCAAAGTGGGGGAGAACAAGGGGTCACAAGACCAGTCAAGCAAAGTAAAGCAAAGCAAGCTCAGGGTGGATCACAAAGTCACCACACAGTCCGAGCACAGGGTCAAGGCCACATGGCCAGTTCACATGCAAGAGTACACACATATATATAAAGCTAGACAAGCAAGAGCAGGTATATATATATGTGAGAGTACAGGCAAGGTCAAGAGGAGAGCAAGTGAGGCAAGACGGGCACAAGACCCAGCTGAGTGCAGAAGCGCTGATGATCACAAGGCGGAAGTGCCTTGGTGAATACATCAGCAGTGTTGGCCTCAGAGGCCACGTACGCAAGCCGCAACTGACCACGTTGCTGTAGCTCACGAGCAAGGAAGTAGCGGAGAGCAATGTGCTTTGTTCTGTGCTCCAGTCGCTGCTCTCGACACAAGGCCAGCATGGCCTTGTTGTCTACGTACAGGACTGGAGGAGAACGAGGCGGCTCTCCAAGGTCGGTCAGCAGGTAGGTGAGCCAGCGAAGCTCCTGTGCAGCCATGGCCCCCGCGTAGATCTCAGCCTCACAACTCGAGCCAAGAACAGAAGACGAGCGAGTAGCCCGCCACGAAACAGAGCCGGAACCAAGGCTGAAGGTGTAACCCTGTGACGACCGCTGCGTAGCCTGGTCGTCAGCCCAAGAAGCGTCCGCGTGCC